CACAGAACCACAGAGCCACGGCATGGCTGATCCACTGCCAAGGGCACCTGGGGGGCTTGGGGGGTCCCCTGCCAGTGTGGCCCCCCAGAGGCACCCTGCAGCCCTGGGTGTTAATGTCACCCCATCCCCAGTGCTCCAGCATCTCCAGCCCCACATCCTCCTCCTTGGACTGAGGGTCCTGCCCATGCTGGGATGATGTCTAAGGGAGGGAGAGGCAGAGATGGGATGGAGGGAGCCAGCAAGTCCCCAGCATCCTTCAGAGCCTCAAGACCTGAAGACACTCTGGCAGCAGAGCTCTCTCACCACCCCCAGCACTGCCTGAGCCTTCTGCAGAGAGCCCAAAAGAGAACATCCCTGCAGAGACAGGAGAGCAGACCCTTCCCTGCACCCAGCATCTCCAGCTGTAGTTGTGCCTGTGTGCTCATCCCTGTCAGCACAGAGGCGGCTGGAGGCAGAGCTGGAATGGGAGCAGGGCACTCAAACCACCAGGGCACTTCCACCTGCAAAACTACCTCAGTGACAATTCACCAGCAATTTATGGTTTTGAGTCTCAGCTGTGTCATCTCAGCTGGGCAGAGACTGAAGAGCCCCAAACCCAGTGGCCACTCTCTGTCTGCAGCTCTGGTGCACAGGCAGAGCCTCAGGTTTGCTGCCCCTGCATCCACCAGTGCAAGGCCCTCACCTGGGTTTGCTGTGGGACAAAATTATCCACAGGTCCAGATAAATCTCAGGGAAATCACCCTTTGATTGGCCCCCTTATTGCATGAAAAGACTGATTTCCAATTTGCCTAAATACTAATTTCTAAGACATTTCCATGTGCAGTGCAGCACAGGGGCAGGTGGGGACCTCCCTGCTCCACCCAGCCTGGCCTTGCTGGCAGGAATCAGAGGCCACCTCTGCCTCCCTCCATGGCCATGGCCTTGGCTGTGCTCAGCTATCAAAAACAAGATACAGGGCAAGTGTCCTCACTGCATGAGCCTGCAGAGAGTCAAACTTGGCTGCACTCTTGGTTACTTGCATTATTCAACCTGCACTGTTGCAAGATTTAGTTGCAGTTAAAGTTGTCCTTCCATCTTCACCTGTCTCTCTCCTGGCAGAGAATCCAAGAAGTGAGCCCATGCTTCCTGTGCAAGCATGCCTGTGATGACTGGGTTTTGTGGCTTTTTCTGTACTGGTAAATGAAGGGTGACTGGACTGACCCTGACACCAAAGATGGGTGTCAGGGAACAGAGCAAGTCCTGCCCTCAACCTCTGCTCTGACACCATGCTGCCCTTCTGCCAGCACCCCTACCTGTGGCAGCTCTAGCCCTGCTGGGAATGGTCTGCAGAGGGCTTGGCCCGTGGGAAGCCTTGGCCTGGGATGCTCCAGGTTAATGATGAGCCTGGGAATAGCCTTTGTTTTTGATGAAATCAGTTTTTAATGTGTCCTGGGTGCTGGAGGATGGTGAGACAACCTGGAGCAGGGATGCAGCACGTGGAGATTGCAGGTTGCTGTAAGATGGAGGCAATCCATACGCTCAAGGCACGTGGGAACTCGCCAGACAGTAAATCAGTGCTCTGAAATGCCTGACCTTGCACAGCAGCATCTCCCTGCTCCCTCACCAGAGTCTCTCCATCTCTATAAAAAATAGCCACTGCATTGGTACAACTCTCCAGATTTTCTCACGTTTCCTGTTAGAGTTTCAGAGCCCAAACACAAGTCAAGGTCCCCAGCAAGTTCAGTGAATGTCCATTAATCTTTCCTGGCTCAGGCACCCTGTCAGCTCAGTAAAACCCAAGTCCTGAAGAGTTCCAGGCTATCAGAGGGATGGGCTGTTGCAGGCCATGTTTGTCCCAGGCCTGCTGCAGATGGATTCCAACAAATCCCCTTTCTGCAGGGGGCTGGACATGCAGGTATATCCAAGGGCTCCAGAGACTGAATGAAGCTGGCTAATTAATTTCCAGCATGGAGCAGGCTGATATCCCCCTGTCAGCAGCATCTACAGACACCCTGTGGCTCTGGGAGGAAGATGAGGATTATAGGGATGGAATCCTATGGAGTTTGTGTCCCCACTTTTCTCCTCCTGCTCAGAGGATGCTGCCATCACAGCTCGCTTTCTCTCCTGCCCCCCATGAACTGGCTCCAGGGAGAGGCATGGAAACTGGGACAGTTGACAGCACAAGAATGGGAACAGCCAATGGCATGGGAAGGAAAAGCCCAAGCCCCTCCAGCTGGAGCAACCCCCTCCCATAGCTCGGGGAACAAACGCACCAGCGAGCACAGAAACCACCAGGAAATAACAGCATTAAGGAAAGCCCGTGTATTTAGTATGAAATCTTTGCCACTGAGAAACACAAGACCAGGCTTTAGCGTCTGCCCTAATTTAGCTCTTTCCCTCTGGAAAGGACTATTTGTGAAATGCTTTGTGCTCATGTCCCTGGCATTAATCAGCCCCTGTCAGCCTCCAGCTCTGCGGATCCCCCTGCACTCGCAGGTGTGCTGCTCTATCCCACCCTCCCACGTGGCAGGTACCCAGCGGCTCCAGCCTTTCACAACAGATATCCAAGGGGCTCAAAAGTGCCTGAAGATTTTGCTTTTAATTAGAGGAGCTCTGGAGACATGCTATATTCATATGTATTTCCTGCTATTTTTTTTAATTTATTGCTACATCAGCTATTAAAAAAAAAAAAAAAGGCAAAAAGAAGAAAGGAAGGGAGCTGCCACAAGCTGAGCGCCTTTTGGGATGAGTCACTGCATCACTGAAATGGCTGCTGGCTTCAGACTCACCCTGCCTCTGCGATTTGCTTCCAGCCTGCAGAAGAGACCACAGCAAGAGGTTTTGCCCCTGTGCCCACATGGAGGATTTGCTGTGTGGTTATTGATATAATCCACCCTGGCCTTCAGCGGGTGGAGATTCGCCTTCCTCAACAAAGGAAGATGGGGGGAGACATGAAAGGAAGAGATGGCGAGGCATTTCCAGCTGACCTGATTTTCTGCTTGCTCCCATCTCCACATCACTGCTGGTTAGCTCAGGACTGGCAGCAGGGGCACGGGGCTGGCCTGTGCCATAGGGAGCTGTGCTTTACCAGGGCCATCACAAACACAGCTGTGCCAAGGAACAGCCCTTACACCTCAATTCACTGGAAAACAGCCTTAAAGTGGGAGTCTCCCTTTCCTGCCACAGCTTGCCAGTGTCAGTGTGAAGGCAGGCCAACAGGGTCTGGCTGGCTCGTGGCAGAGTCAGGCCTTTTGCCTCTGAATTTGTGGGGAAAAGGGAAAATTCACCTCAAGTGCCATTGATGCAGCAGCCAAGTCCCCTCTGAAGGATGCTGTGATGCCAGCACAAACCTGCACGGGGCCTCTGCAGCCTGGGACATGAAATTCTCTTCTCTGCAGTTGCTTCCAGCCACAGCTTTGAGCTGCAGCAGGAGACGTGGAGGTATCTCCTCTCCATGTCTCTCCAGCCCCTTCCCAGGGTGATCCCTCCAGTCTGGGAGCAATAAGGACAGACCCCTCTCAACTCTTTCCCACTCATGATTAATCTCCTCCACACGGCCCAGGGACACTCAGCAAACCTCCTTGTACTGAGAGAGCTGATTTTGGGGGGGACAAGGCTGAGGTCTGCTCTGTAGTAGAGCATAAACAGGGCTCTGGTGCAGACACAAAGTGCCAGATGGAGTGGGCGCCCTTGCAGCGCCAGGCACAGCTCCTTCCCTGAAAATGGCTGGATGAGAACTATTTTCAGAAGGGAAAAGAAAATTCACCCTGATCACCATATGTCAATGACAGGCAGAGAAAACCCCACGTGGGAGCCAGCCCTCCTCCTACCCTGTGGGCTGCACCCCGCTGGGGCTCAGCACCCACCATCAGCCAGGCTCGCAGCTGCCTGGAGCAGACAAAGATGGGCATGTTTATCTTGCAGCTTCCAGGGATGCTCAGCCATCTCTAATTGCCATAAAAAAAAATGCTTTTTGCTTCATATCACAGAAAAGAGGAATTTCCCTCCGTTTTTTTTTTCTTTTTTCTTTTTTTTCTCTTTTCTGAGGCCTCCCTCAAAGTCATCCCTTCCCCCTCCCTCCGCTGCCTCCTTGCCATGTAAACAAGCACAGGCACACACAGTCTGACACATCACACACACATGGAGACACGCTGATGGCCCTGCAGCGGCCAGCTCTGCCTGGCACAGGGACAGGACTGGCAGCACACGCGGGAGGCGGGCGTGCGGGCAGGGGGAAGGATGCTCGCCACCAAAAAGAGCTCTCAGTCCGCCTCGTGCAAGCCTGGAGAAGGCTGAGAGCCCTCAGTCTCCAGCCCCTCGGACCATAATCAGCAATCAGCAAGCCGATGGAAGGGACGCAGAGGGTGCTGCGAAGTCTCGCCCCGTGCGAGCCGCCCGTGTGACACAGCTGCTCTGTGCTGGCTGCCGGAGCAATGAGCCATCGCTGCGGGGACATGCAGCCCCGGCCGTCACCCTGGGAAGGTCCCTTTCCCATCCCGTCCTTCCCATCCCTCTGCTCCAGCGGCTGATTTCGGGGGCGCTTGGTGCGCTGTGTGGGGATGGCCCCGGGCGGCGGCGGCAGCTCGCTGACCTGAAAGCAGCGTGTGCCATGCCCGGGGCTCGCTGCCTTCGCCCACCTCCCAGGGAGCCTTTGGAGAGACACCGAGGAGCTCGGCAAGCCAGGGCAGCGCTTCCCCGCGGGGCTGCCCCGGTGCCCCGCACACTCCCAGCTCCAAGGAGCAGGATGGAGATGGATCGCACGGAGGGCGACTGCGAGGGCAGGGGGGCATCGTGTGCCCGGCGCAGGGCGGCAGCGCTGCCCGGGCCCTGCTCGGCCTGAGCGGGCACGGCACGGCACGGCCCGGCCCTGCCGGCTGCGGGGGCTCAGCGCTTCCCACCCGGGCAGCCTCGCAAAGACCTGGGGTAGCCCAGGGCCGGCCGAGACGGGCACCCCCAGCGCGGCTGGCACAGCCATCCTGTGAGCTCTCCCGCCTCCCAAGGCACTTCCAGCAGGTAAGACTTCAGGAAAGCCAGGGGTACCCTCGCCTGCTCCAGATTCCCGGCTCGGTTCCGTGTGACAGCTGTGGTGGTGGCTCGGCGGGGACACCGCCAGCCTCGCACGGAGCTGTGCCGACCTGCCAGCCGGTTTCACCAAATTCAGCTCGCTGGTCTTGTCCAGTGCGTTCTCCCCGGGCATCCTCAGCCCTGTCCCCTATACAGAGCTCGGCAGGGGCTGGCGGGAGGCAGAGGCAGCCACGGTCTGGAACCGGGCACTGGGAACGGGGAATCGGGAGCCGCGCTCTCCCCGCCTGCTCCCGCGCCGCGGCGCCGGCGGGCGGGCGGAGGGCGGCACCGGGAAGGGCGGCGGGCGGGACCCCCGGCCCCGCGGAGCTCCTGCCGCCGCCGCCGCCGGCCCCGCAGGGCTCGGGCTCCGCGCCGGGCGCGCTCGCTGCGGCGGGGGCGGCGCCGAGGCAGGTGAGCGGCGGCGCGGGGCCGGGCTCGCCAGCGGGGTGCTGCGGGCTCCGCCAGCGCGGGGACCGCGGCACCGGCACCCGGGGCGGGCGGGGACGAGGGCAGCGGCATCCCGGGGCGGGGTGGGGACCCGCGGCATCGGCATCCCTGGGAGCGGCAGGCACCGGCATCCCGGGGACCCGCGGCGCTGGCATCCCGGGGTGCGGCGAGGACCTTAAGATCGGTAACACAGGGACCGGGGCACCGGCAACCCGGGTACCCGGGGTACCAGAACCCCCGGGCATTGCAGGGTTCAGCAGCCTGGGGTGCGTCGGGGACTCGGGGCAACGGCAACCCGGGGTGAGAGGGCAACCGGAGCAGCGGCGTGCAGGGATGAGCGGGGAAGCGAGGTACCGACATCCCGGGGTAAGCGGGGAGCCGCCGTGCCGGCATCCACGCCCCGGGATGCTGCTGGGTGCCGGGGCGCAGGGACCCTCCTCCCCGTCCCTCTGCGGGCGGGTGTAGGGGAGTCCCTCGCCCCGGAGCCTGCCTTCCCCCAGGGCTGCATTCCCCCTCCCCGGGGAACGGAGCACGGAGGTCCCTCTGGAGAGCTGTGCACGCTCAGCGTGAGACCTGGGAGTGGAGGCTGGCACAGCGCTGGGCTGTTGGTAATCACCCTCTCCTGCACCCGAGGCGAGCAGGGAGTCCCCCGTCAGCTCCATCTCCAGCCCTGAGCATCTTGGTGGCCTCTCAGCATCCAGCAGCCGCTTGTGCTCTGCCTGCAGGGAGCAGCCAGTAGTGGGAATCCCCCTTCCATTCTCCCCTCTGCCTGCCTGGCAAACCCCCGCACCGCCCAAGGCAGGGCTTGGACCTGAGCATCTTCAAGCCGATGAGCACAGAGACGCTCAGCAATGGGGATGGGGCTCTGCAGGGGCAATTTTGGATGACCAGAAAGCAGATGTCTCCCCAGTTCTGTCCCAGCATATGGAGACAGCACCCTGCAGGAGCTGGGATGCCACCCAGCCCCACGGGCCCCCTCAGGTACTCAGCAGGGGACTCCCAGTCCTACCCCAGTTTCATGGATATCTTGCACAGGATCTCCTCAGTGGTCTGCAGCCAGCACCCCTGCACACCTGGGACACGCACGGTCACAAGCCCCGGGTGACAGGGCATTTAGGGTAGGCTACAGGCAAAGGATAAGAGGTTCCTCCTCCTCTACGCATTTCTAATGGCTCCTTTGAGACAAGCCACACGACTCCCTGCTGGGAAGCCTCGCTGAGCTGTAAGTACAGGGTTTTTTATTTAGACTCTTAATCTAAATCCATTGTACCTGGTTGGAAAAGACCCTGTGTGCAATGCTCCCTGCACTTGCTGCATCCTCACTTGAATGTCTATTAGCACCTTCTTTCCCACTCCCCTGAGTTCCCTTTGCCAGGTAGAATAAATATACATTACTTCCATTTGAAAGCCTTTGAGAAAAAAAATATGTTGTCAAGGGAAACTCTTCTAGCATTTCTTATAGACATGCTTGATCTGTTTTATATTTTATTTTTACTGTCATAAATGCATATACCAGGGATTTTTTTCTCCACAAGATAGATATTAATTTGAACGCCCAACACCCAGCTCACACTGGCTTGTGTAATTCTGACGGTTGTCTCAAAATAGCTTACAATATATTTCAACATCTATCAGAAAGAGACTGGCTTGATCCGTTCCCTTTTCCCAATCATTCATGGAAATTTTGGGTCAACTAAAGGAAAATTTTGCAAATTCACTTTCTCCCAGACAGACACATTTGTATTCTCTGTCCGTTGTGCTTTTAAATAAAAATCACCCAAGCTTCCTAAGTGAGCTTTTGTTTCCCAGCTGATTCCCCTGCAAACGTGAGTGGGGTGCAAGCTTTGATGGTCCAACAGGGGAGATCACACTGGGTCCCAGTTCAAAGCCCAGTTCTGTTCTAAAGCTGAGCTTAGCTGCTTGTGAAACAAATAGGCAAGAGAGTTATAAAACTATTAATTGCTGCTTTAGATTCCTAGATGAAAGCTGTATGTGGGCAGAAATAATTTGGTCTATTCATAAGTGAACATCATAAAGGAACACCTCTGGCAGTTCGTGACCCTTCTCCTCAGTCTGCTTCCAGTGCAGGAGGGATGGAGGGATTTCCCTGGGCTACAAACCTTGCAGGTCCTGACACCCACGTTTTAATTTTGAGCTGGGAGAGAGGTAGGAGCCATCCCTTTCTGGCTGTCAGGGTTTGGCACGTCTCACCCAGAGCCACAGCTGTGCACTGGGGATGGCCCTGCTGAGCTGGAGGAATGCTTCAGGCTTGTCCTGCCATCCTGGGCTGTCCTGTGCCCCAGCCCAGCCCCCAAGCCACCTTGCCTTTGGTTTTAGTGGCCTCACCTTTCAGAGAGGCTGCTCTATAGGGAGGGTGCAGAGAGAGTCTGAGGTTGGTTTTGGGATCAGCTGGATCCCACAGATGCACCTCCAGGGCCCCCCATCTGTGTGTGTGTGCTTATAGCCTGAATGCATGAGCATCCTTCTGGAAGGAACCTGGATTAGTCATCCCTACCCCACAGATGGGCTGTGTGATGTCTTCTCTGGAAAAGCCAATCTGACACTGAAATTCCAATTTATCCCTGAAAGAAGGGTTTACACCCCTTCTTCTCCCTTGCTTTTGGCTTAAGCATTAAAAATGGATCCTTCTCCTTCTTCCCTCCCGTTTGAAAGGCGAGACATGGAGTCCATTAAGCTCTGAGGTTTATCACCAGCTGGTTGCCTCCTCCAGACGTGGTGTGATGGAAGTGCTGGTTGTGGTGCAAAGCTGTGTCTTTAAGGAGCCCCGGGCTGGGAGATGCAGTGGAGTTCACAGATGCTTTTGCCAGGCTGTTTCACACAAATCTGGCATTTCCTGCACCCACAGCCATGCTCAGCTTAAAAAACACCTCCAGGGCTCAACCGTGGCTCCGTTACCTGTTCCTCTGCAGCTCTGCCCTACCCTACAGATTTAGAGGTGACCGTGTCCCCCAGGTCCCTCCCAGTCTGACAGACCTTTCACACCGAGGTTCTCAGACTGGAAAGCAGGCAGAGCCCTGGTGTTTGCCCCATAAACCCGGTGAGATGGCTGCTGAGGAAGAACTCACAGGACTCCCCTGGGTGTTGTGACCTAGCTCATGTCCCTGACCTCGGTGTGGGACCAGGCTGTTCTCTGTGGGGTCTGCTGGCACCTCAGCATCACTGCAGGGGCTGCAGTCTTTTTTCCCTCAGCTCCTGCTGCCTGTTTGTGCCCTCTGTCCCTGCGGCCCCTAAAAGCTTGGAAAATTCTGTGGGTGACATAAGACAGGAAAAAATGTAATTCCTCCACCAAGAGAGCAAAGCAGTGTCCCTCAAACCCCACCACTCTGTGCCAGGAGCAGGGAGATCCTGTGAGTACAGGGCTGCTCCATGTGTCCCCTGGTTGTTTTGATGAATAAGGCAGGTGGAAAAATCTGATTTCAAGGTGGTGCATAAAGATCACGATGCTTTTTATTTGCCTTTTTGCTCTAAATTTCTGAGCAAGACAGGTAAATGCATCTGCATCTGGGAATGCTCCTCTTTCTTTGATGCTTTAACGGTTTCTCATTAGAAAATAGAATTTCTGCCGCACAAAAAAGCCCAGCTCCCTGAAACTTATAAATCCCTAAAATGCAATAGAAATCAAAATGCTGGGTTTTTATTTCCCCATCGACATACAGATTTTATTCAGTCATCAGTGATTCTGAATCATGTTTTTGCTCTGTTTCAACATAATCAAAATAATCTTAATATTTTACATGGCAGGACACACAAGAGGAAACAAAACAGGCAGATGAATTGTTTTGACACTTCTTCCTCTCAAATTCTCCCTAAAATCGACACCTTCTGTGACAATACTTTGATTTTGGCAAAACTGCCTGTGCTGCTGGAAAGATTGCACCATCTAAGGACTTTTTGACCAGGTCTAATTAGTAGCGTGGGTAGTGGGGCTACAAAGCACTTTGGCAGAATCACAGCAGTGGTGATTTGACAAGATCTAATTTTTCCTCCGGGAGACTCTTTGGGGAATAAATCTTCTCTTCAGTAACTAATTACCTGTTTGAAGAAGGAGAACCCCATGGGTGAGGTACTGGAGGTGAATTAAACTGCCTTCCTTAGGCCATTAACAACCTGCAAAGGGAGAAATTTTAGCAGGTAAAAAAGCAAGGAAAAGTTTCACATGGAAAAATCATTGGCTTTTCTTTTTTTTTAGTTTCCATACCACAGGAGAACAGCAGTCTAAAGCTGTTTTTCTCCCCTTCTCTCTCCTTGGTCCTCACTTCTCAAAATGCAAACATCCCTCCTCATTCCCCAGGGTGCTTCTGCTCCCCCACATCCAGGAGCAGCCCTCCAGCCCCGCTGTCTCATCCACAGGTGGAACCCGCTCCTGCTCTGCTGATCATGGTCAACAAGACCTTAAACTACTGGGGTCCCAGTTTTGAGGAGGACGTTATCAACATCAACGTGGGCGGTCTGCGGCGGCGGCTCAGCTCCAGCGCGCTCTCCAAGTTCCCCGACACGCGCCTGGGCCGGCTGCTCTCCTGCGACTCGGAGGAGTCCATCCTGCAGCTCTGCGATGACTACGACGTGAGCGCCAGGGAGTTCTACTTCGACAGAAACCCCGGCTTCTTCCTCTACGTCCTCCACTTCTACCAGACGGGCAAGCTGCACGTCATGGAGGAGCTGTGCGTCTTCTCCTTCTGCCAGGAGATCGAGTACTGGGGCATCAACGAGTTCTTCCTGGACTCCTGCTGCAGCTACCGCTACCACGAGCGCAAGCTGGAGAGCCGGCACCACAACTGGGACGAGGAGAGCGAGGTGAGCAGTGTGGACACGTCCCCCGATGAGATCTCTGACATCAACCACGACCTGCTGCGCTACAGCACCCTGCGCTGCGGCAACCTGCGCAAGCGCCTCTGGCTCACCATGGAGAACCCCGGCTACTCCATCCCCAGCAAGCTCTTCAGCTTCGTGTCCATCAGCGTGGTGCTGGTGTCCATAGCCACCATGTGCATCCACAGCATGCCCGAGTACCAGGAGGTGGATGAGAACGGCAACGTGCTCGATGAACCCATCCTGCACAAGCTGGAGTATTTCTGCATCTCCTGGTTCACCTTCGAGGTGTCCTCCCGCCTCCTGCTCTCACCCAACCCCAGGAAGTTCTTCAAGCACCCACTGAACCTGATTGACATTGTGTCAGTGTTGCCCTTCTACTTCACCCTCCTGGTGGACGTGACCATGGGCAGTGACTCGGAGCTGGGCAACCTGGGCAAGGTGGTGCAGGTGTTTCGGCTCATGAGGATATTCCGGGTGCTGAAGCTGGCTCGGCACTCCACCGGACTCAGGTCACTGGGGGCCACCTTGAAGGTAAACTGGCTCTCTATCTCCTTACCTACTCCTTTAGACTAGTAGGGCTGAGAGTGACCTGCTGAGCAGGTAGCAGGCCAGCCAGCAGCTGCTGGGTCTGCCAGCACCAGTGTGAGTGGCTCAGGGCTGCTCCTGTCCCCATTCTAGAAAATGGGGAACCCTCCTAAGGGCATGTTGCCAGCTGACCAGAGGCCAGTGTCCAACCCCGGGTATCTGCCCTTTTAGGGAAACAGAAATCCTGCTCCAGCTGAGTTGATACTTGGATGCTTCAAGATACAGTGAGGTTGGGACTGGCACAAAGCAGCAATAGAAAAGCAATGGGTGAGTTGTATGGCATGGGACAACCAGCCCCAGGAAGGGTCTATGCCCGCAGCAGAGCCTGGGTTTCCAGCAGTTGCCCCTCAGTGTGATAGAAAAATTGGCATGCAGGGCTGGGGGAAGCTGGTCCCAGGACCATGTGGTCCTCAGGAGGAAGGTCTGGAGGAAATGCTGAGCAAGTGGAGGACCAGGATTCAGGTGTACCTAGATGCAGCATCCCTGCAGGTCTGGTGAGAGGGTCCATATCTCCCATAACATGCCCCAAGGCTGTATTTCTCCAGATCCCCACCCACAGCACCCCTGGTGTCTTTAGACACACCAAGGGCAACTTGAAATCTGTCCTGCAATCCTCACTATCCTGGTGCTGCAGCCAGACCTCCATCACTGCAGCTCAGTGGCGAAGCAGGAGAGCTTCCATACCCAGTGTGGTTCTGCTCACCCCCACCATCTCTCCCCTCCACCCTTCTCCTGCTGAAGACCATGTTCCTGAATCTGGGGAGAAGGAAACTCACCTCCTGTGCTTACACAGAAAATCCAGCCTGGTGCAGAGGCCAATTAAACTCAGCCTTTAATTGTCCCTGGTTCTTGGTGATTGCATCAACAGGAATCCTAAAGCTGATCCTTGAGCCTGCTCAGAGTGACACATGCTCCCAATGCCCTTCCACGCATGGAGCTGGTGCTGGGCATGGGGGGATGATCACCAGGGCAAACACTGCCTCTTCTTGGGTCAATTGCACAAATATCCCTGTGCTTTACCCCCTTCAAATGACTGGTGTGCCACACGAGTGGCCAAGGAAGCAATCTTTGTAACAGAGCCTGAAATTCAACCACTCTCCTCCCACTCAGTGCCTGGCATGGGAGGGAGCTGCAGCTCCTGGTGCTGCTCCCTCTGAAGGGCCATGTCAGGGATGAGTAGCTGGGGACACCCTGTTTTTGCTGCTGCAGCAGTGACAGGGCTGGCATGGGGTGTACTGGCCTTGGCTGCTGGGGTTGGACCCGTTCCCATGGCTGAGTCACGGAGGAAAGCAACCATTGAGTGTGAATGGGGGTGAGGATGGGCAGCAGGAAAGGTCTTCTGCCAGCTTCTGCTCTGACGCAGGATCAGCCCTGCCCAGAACTAATCTTGCAGAGCCTACAGAGCATCAAAATATTCCTGACATCCTCAAAAACTGCTGAGAACAGGGTCCAGGGTGGGTTGCTTGAAATGAAGATGCCTGAAGTCCTACCTGCATCACACTTGCTTCTGAACACTCACCTTGAAAGGGCACTGACAAGTGACAGACCCAGGTAAAACTGCTGGTGAAATTCAAGTAAACTTGCACAGGTGGAAAGGGCTCCCTAAGTCCTGCTGGTACTCCATCCAAGCATGAACACCACCTTTCAGCAGAGCAGGCACTGATGGACTCATGTGCACATTACTAAGCAGTAAAGGAGGTCTGGGGAGCCGGCAGCATCGCGGCTCCGGCCGCTGACGAGCGGCTGATTCAGCCAGTGACGTGCTGGAAAGTGCCCCTTCCTGGGGACTCCGCAGCCAGCTCTGAACGGGGATGAGCAAAGACACAAATCTGATGCAGCAGCTTGGCATTGTGATTTAGTGGGCACATAAATTACAACGTCTTGTTAATCATAATTTACTTCCTATTGCGAGAGCAGAGAGCAGGAGCAGAGCAGTGGAGGCTGTTAACAGCCAGGAAGGGGGAGCGATGGCTCTGGCAAGCTGAGTGATTGTTCCCCTGCCACCAGAGTGCTAGCTGAGGGAATTCTGCCATTTGTGCACTGTAAACCCTGAACAGCCCTCAGACTGCTTGGGGCCTGATCCACAGCGTGTTTAATTTGAGGAGAGGCTTCCTACACGTCTCTGCTCTTCCTCCCCACCATGCCCGACATCCTTTACCACTACTGCAGCTCTGTGGGCTGGCTGTTGATAGATGTTGGTCCCTGGGTAATTACAGCACATACAGGGATCTTCAGGAGTTGTTGTCTGTCCCCTCAGGGGCATTAATACACAAAGAGGTTGGAACTCTGCACATCCCGTGTCACCCTGCTGTCACTACCATGGGCCATCTTTGCTGGGTTTCCACGCTCCTATTTCTAGCAAGACTCAAAGTGGGCTCTTCCATTCCAATTCTTCTGCTGTGCTGGAGGAAAGATATGCATTTGGCAGGAACCTGGAGAGACTGCTGCTTGGAGGGCTTTTTGCTGGAGTCTTTTATTACCTAGCATTGCCTCCCCCAAGGCTGGCTGCTTGCTAAGCCTGCAACCCACCCAAACCCTGGTTAAAACTGCATCCCACCCAAACCCTATCCAGGCCTGCATCCCACCTGACCCTTGGCTAAACCTGCATTCCATCTGAACCCTGGCTAAGCCTGCATCCCGCTCAGACCATGGCTAAAACTGCATCCCAGCCAAACCCCAGCTGCAGCTGCCTTCCCCCTCAATCAGTGAGCAAACCAGAAGTTTTGCAGATAAAGGGCTGCAAATAGATGTCAGCCAGTGCCTGAGGATCAGCTGGGAGGTTTCTGGAGCCTTCCCTGTGCTTCAAACCCTGACCCTATGTGTAAATTGAAGCAGCAGGAGCTATGGAGCTGCCTGACTTCCCCTTTGCCTTCCCCCTCCAACACATCCCAGGGCCAGAAGTGATACTCTTTAAAAATGCATGAGGTTATTTGGTGCTGCTGGTCCCCAGCTGGGATGTACAGACCTGCTGTTAACTTCCAGCCAGGAGCAGGTCATTCTTGGCCAAGTGATACACCCTTGGCTCTGAGCTGTTTGTCCTCTCAAGGAGCTCCCCTGGCACTGCTATAGGTGAGTGAGGAGAAAGGGAGGAGAAGGAGGAGGAAGGGGAGGAAGAGGAGGTTATTTGGTATTACTGGCATTATCTGAGCAGCTTTTGCCAGCTGTCTAAGCAAAGTCTCCTCATTCCCTGCCATGAATCCACCTCCTTTTAAGTCTCATCCTAACCACAGAAGCCTTTTCCCACATCTGCTGCTGTTTGCTTTGTTCAGATGTTGTTTCCTTTAGCCGTTATGTGGTCTCCGATAAAGCATTCTCTGCTTGTTAGGAGACTGGGAAAAAATCCCTATAATCAGAGCTCTGCTTTCCTTTTCCCAAAAGATGAAGAGCAAGCTGGCAGGTCAGTGGGCAGAAACATCCAAAAAATTCACTGATGGCAGTCAAGAAGTGATTGGACAAAGCCATGCTGGGAGGATGGTGGTGGCAGCCTGTCCCCTGGCATCCCTTCCTGGCATGACTTGCTGCCTGGTCCTCCAGCTGCCCACTGCCTGTTCCCCCTGGGCTCCTGGCACAGGTTTATACTTTGTTCAAATGTTAGGAATATAAAAAGAAAGATCACAGCACAACTGTTTTAGGTTGAAACCAGAGAAATGATGTCTTCTTCAAGGAGCATTGCATACCACTGCCATCAGGGTTGGGTGTCCCATGGCTCTATTCCCACCAAGGCTCCCAGATCCCTTGGGCTGTATCTCATCAAGCTGGGGCTTGCAGCCCCCTGTAGGATGGGTGCTAAGACCAGCCCATGCTGACACTGGATGGGTCCCTGGTCTGCCCTGATGAACAGGGATGTTTGGTTTGGTGTCAGCTCTGATGTGATGTTTCTATGGGTGTGTAACAAAGGGTTTCATGAATGCTGTGGCTCAGTGGTGTGGGGGTACAGGAGGGACCCTGGGGCTCAGGGGTCCCCAGGGAGCCTGGGCTGAGACCTGGGTAAGAGCTGAGCTGAGCCTGCAGCAGAGACCACGTCCTCTCTGTGAGCAGTGCCAGCGACTCAGGAAGGTACAAATTGCTTCTTTTAGTGGCTGCTATTAGGTGGTTTCTGGGGACCTGCCAAGATAAAAGGAAAATGTGCTAAATATTGTTAGCTGAGATCAGGCCAGAGTGAGTGCTGGAGGCAGGGGAGCAGCTTCTGCTGGGGATCCCTGGCTGGGGAGCCCAGATCTGTCTTCCCCCTCAGCACTCACAGGCTGGTGGAGTGCAGAGAGGCAGCTGTGGGTGCCAGGAACGATTCCCGGCTGCACCACTTGCTCCAGGTGTGAGTCACTCCTGCCCCACCCCAGCGCACACCTGGAGCAGGACATCCCACAGCAGAGGTGGATGGAACACTGGGATCCCTGTGTAGGAGTGCAGGGAGGCTGTGCAGGGCTGTGTTTGCACTGTGGGATCCCTGTGTCCTGATCAGCGCCCCTCGCTCACCAAGGGCTCTGCTTTGCCTTCCAGCACAGCTACAGAGAGGTGGGGATCCTGCTGCTCTACCTGGCTGTGGGGGTCTCTGTCTTCTCTGGCGTGGCCTACACTGCAGAGAAGGAGGAGGACGTCGGCTTCGACACCATCCCGGCGTGCTGGTGGTGGGGCACGGTCAGCATGACCACTGTGGGCTACGGGGACGTGGTGCCCGTCACCGTGGCGGGCAAGCTGGCGGCCTCGGGCTGCATCCTGGGGGGCATCCTGGTGGTGGCACTGCCCATCACCATCATCTTCAACAAGTTCTCCCACTTCTACCGCAAGCAGAAGGCGCTGGAGGCGGCCGTGAGGAACAGCGGCAAGAAGGAGCCCGAGGAGGGCGGCAGCACCTCCAGCCATGACCGCGACTCCGAGGCCCTGAGCGAGACCTCCCTGGACAGAGCCAGCCCCGACCGACGTGGCCTGACCCCCGGGGCCCACCCCAGCCCCTGAGCCCTTGCTCTGCAGCCCTGGGGCACCTGGGATCTGCTGGGACTCACCTGGGGCCTGCAGGACCTGCTGGGACCCACCTGGGGCACCTGGGACCTGCTGGGACCCACCTGGGGCATTTGAAACCTGCTGGGACCCACTTGGGGCACCTGGGACCTGCTGGGATTCATCTGGGGCCTGCAGGACCTGGCGGGACCCACCTAGGGCATGTGGGACATGTGGAACCCACCTGGGGCACATGGAACCTGCTGGGACTCACCTGGGGCCTGCAGGACCTGCTGGGACCCACCTGGGGCACCTGGGACCTGCTGGGACCCACCTGGGGCATTTGGAACCTGCTGGGACTCACCTGGGGCCTGCAGGACCTGGTGGGACCCACCTGGGGCATGTGGGACATGTGGGACCCACCTGGGGCATTTGAAACCTGCTGGGACCCACTTGGGGCACCTGGGACCTGCTGGGACTCACCTGGGGCCTGCAGGACCTGCTGGGACCCACCTAGGGCATGTGGGACATGTGGAACCCACCTGGGGCACATGGAACCTGCTGGGACTCACCTGGGGCCTACGGGACCTGCTGGGACCCACCTGGGGCATTTGGAACCTGCTGGGACCCACCTGGGGCATGTGGGACATGTGGGACCCACCTGGGGCACATGGGACCTGCTGGGACCCACCTGGGGCATGTGGGACTTGCTCATGATGAGAACCAGGACACAGCAGAGGAGCCATGGCTGGCATCACCCTGTGAAGGACAGGAGGGGTTGGAGGCGATGCCCAGGGGGTGCTGGCTGCTTCCAGACCCCGTGCCTGCCTGGATGTGTCTCAGCCTTCACCTTGCTCACCCGTGGCTGCAAAGGGAGGTGGTGGTGCTGGATACACCCCTGCCAGAAAGGGAGGCAGAAAATAAGAAATACAAGTGACCCCTGATCAGGCACTGCCCCAGGGGTATGGAGGGGGGATTTTCCTCTGCCCTCATGTTTTGTGTTGTCCAGGGTGAGGTTAAAGAGCTCAAGGATGAGGCAGCCCTCACCAGGCTGGCAGCCCTTAGAGATCCTGTGCCATGTCATCTCCAGCCCTTGTCCCACCCCCAGCAGGAAACAGGCTCAAAAGGCTCAACTGCCCCTCCAGCCATAAAGGAAAGGGGCTGGGAATGACCTGTATGGGAGGAGAGGGAGTGTCCAGCTCAGGGTGAGCCCCATGGGAGTGAGATGGACTGAACCCCACCTTCTTTCCATTGCTGGGATTTATCTGCTCTCCTGCACTGTCACTGTCAGCACCCGCAGGGATCTGGGGCTGTGCTGGGAGCATGGCACAGCTGGGAGCACTGCCCACACATGGGGCAGGGACACTGCCCACACACCTGGGGATGGCCAGGATGGCAGAAGGAACACTGAACTCTGAGGCAGCAGCAGTCAAAGGGGTCAAAGCTGGGGGAGCTGAGGAGACAATCCCAGTGGGGCTGTCCCCCAAACCCTGGTCTCCCTCACCACAGCCCCTAGCCTGGCTTTGTCCTGCCTCTTCCCTCCCTGTCTCGGGGCCAGGAGGGCTGTAAGGAGGGGGTCACACTGCCCCAGGTGTCCTCACAGGGAGCTGAGCCCCCCAAGTGCTGCTGCACTCACCTTCCCCTGCAGGGAGAGAGCTGGGGCAGAGGGGACCTTGCACTGCTTTTGTCACCACAGCCCTGAGCCCCTCACAGCCAGGCAGGGAGGTCAGCCTGGAACACAAACCCCTTCCTGCCTGGACCCCAGCCCACCTGAGCACTTTCAGGGCACAGCATTAATTCCCTACAGAGCTTTTCCTCACCCTCCCACCCTGTTCTCTGTTTGGAAATGGTGCAGCTCTGTTGCACACAGAGGAGTGCACCCAGCAATGCCTGTTTTGAGCAGGAGAAATGTGCATCCCACAATCCCAAACCACCTCAAACACACTTTAAAGGCTGCAGGATGACCCCAGGTACCTGGACCATGGCTTTGCTCTGCTTTCCTGGCTGGGTTTCAGCACAGCTGTATTTGCTGGTGCTGGCTCTGCCTGTAGCAATCTGCTGGTCACAGGCAAGGAAAGCCAACACTGGTGCAGGTCCAGCTTTTCCAAGCCCAGTGGGACTCAGGGAGGCTCCCCAAGGAGTGGTGGTGTGGGATGGGAGGGTGCTCACGCTTCTGGCATCATCAAGTCTTCCAGTACCAACTCCATGGTCCTCTCTGTGCTTATTCCTGCTGGGAGCTGGGACTGGAGAGCAGCACCCTCTGCTCCAGCCAGCTCCTGCTGCACTGTTACTTGAATACAGGAAGGAGTTTCCCCTTCTCAACATAAATATTCCAGTAGCAAAATGTATTCAAATGTGAAGAGTAAATTATATCTATTAATGAAAAAGCATTATGCAAATAATTAGAAGCATGTAAATTAATTTTCTATCTATGCATGGGATGCATACTGTATATTTTATTAAAGACCTCAATGACCTGCTGTGGATGCTGGTTTCTGTTTTTGTGGCAGCTGGATGTGCTCGTGCAGCCCACGGGCTGAGCCAGGGCTGGCTCAGGGTGAGCAGGAGCAGCCAATGCTGCAGGTCCCTGTCAGGCAGCTCCAGCCCCACCTTGGAGCCCAGCAGAGCTCCCACCTCAGCCCTGCTCTGGATGGTGGGATGCTGTGGGATGCTGTGGGATGCTGGATGCTCTCTGGCTGACAGCTGTCCTCATGCCTGGAGCACTGCTGTGATCCTGGCTGCAGTAACTCACCTTCCTGAGGCTCAGTGAGCCAGGCATTCCTGGGGATGTGTTGGAGCTGGTGGGCTCTGGGAAAAGCCACTCACAGGCATCACAGCTGGGAGGGAGGGAATCCTGGTGCTGTCTGTGGCTCTCTGATGCTCTGAAATGAGGTGGGGTCTCTAGGCTGCTGCTCTGCAGGGGCTGGCTGGGGAGGGCACCACTGCTCTCCCTGTCTGCTGGGCACGATGGGGTAAAAACTGTTCAATCTTTATTCCTTTGAGAGCTTTCCCGTAAAAAAAAAATTAAAAATCCACATTCTGCCAACCATTCCAAGGCAAAAGCTGCCCTACCTTGGGGGCTGTAAGCAAGGCAGGATCTGTGAGCCCCTCTGCCCCATGGCAAGGGCACATCAGAGGGGGCTGGGGCACGAGAGCTCTGAGCTTGGGTTTGGGAAAGCCACGAAAGATGTTTTCTTTTTTTAGCCTCCTGCTCCCTGTGAAGACATTAGGATTTGTATGGCTCTGAGTAAGTGCACCAGGAAAATCCTCCCACTGCTGTGCAGGCAGATCTGGCAGAGCTGGAGCTGTGCAGAGCAGGAAGGTGCCCAGCAGCAGAGTGGGTGAGCACAGCCCACGCTCCCAGCGAGGCTGTGCAGCTCTGGGCTGCAAGGACAGGCCTCTTTTACTAGTGCTAGGCAAGTAGGAAACTCGTGTTCTTTTGCTAATCCCTAATCAGCTTTCCTGAGTGGCTGCATTTTCATTTGATACAGTGGGTAAATCAATTACACACTTTATCAGGTTATTCCTACAAAGCTGCTTTCCACATTCACCAAATGATTGACTAAAGCATGACTCTCTTGCCTCCAGGGAATGGTGATTAAGGAGTGACCTTATTAAGCTGTTTAATGCAGCTGAGAATTAGACAACTCTGCTCAAAGAGACAAAGTAAACTTCATTACCTTTGTTTAAAACTTCTTTTCCTTTGCCAACTTTCAGATCCATGACTACCCTGAGCATGGTCTGTGCACTTGGCTGGTAATGAGAAAACCAGGAGATTTTAAAGGGCTTTATTTAGAGAAAGGAAAGACTCCTCACTGGTAGTGTTTCTGGGATCTCTCCTGCTCACAGATTCCTACAACCCTGCTGACCTCAGCAAAAATCAGTTCTCACTGCTTGAGCACACTTCTTGACATGTTGAATCAGTGTTACTTCTGTTTGCTGAGCTATGGAAGGAGATCAGTAAAAACAAACAGTGCAGTAATTCCTTTTTTTTTTTTTTTTACAAAATAATGCTAAACCACTTTTGCCTTGTAGTGAGACAGCCCCAAGGTCTGCATATACTTATGGGTTCACTTTAGCCTTTACCTGAACCCAAGTGCTAACTTAGTTGTAGGAAAAACACAAAATCAAGACTTCTAACCATCTGAGAGAGCCAAATGAGCAGCCTTGAAGGCATGGAATGAAATTAACCTAACGTGCCAAGACAGGTCACACCATTTCAGGGAATAAAACCCACAGGTCAGGCATGCAGGGAGGCACAGCATCAGCAATGCATGTTCACATCCAGACCTCGAGTCTGCTGAGAGCAGCACAGTGAGAAAAACTGCCCCACATTTCTTTCAAATCATACTCTCTGTAGTGAAGGAATATTGGTCCAGAGCTTGTGAGCCCCTTGGGCTGAGGAAAATGCACCCTACAGCTCAGTTGTCTGCTGGCTGTGCACAGACAGGACTGCAAGAGGCTCCTGTCACCTCTGAGGACGGGACTCAGGGACTCTGGGCTCCCTCCACGTCCAGCACTGTATTTGTTTGGACAGCAACACCCTAGAGGGGAGCAGGGCCGTCCTTCATAGATGGAATTGAATTGTTTCAAAGTTTTTAAACACATTGGCTTTCTTCCTGGGCTCTTAAATTAAAGAGCAATTAACTTTCAGTCTAGAAAGAGCTGATGGGTATTTCCTGGTTTGACTCGTCAAAATTTTGCCAAAATGATTAGTGAAATGAAAAATTGTCAACTCTCGAGGCAGGGCTGTCAGCCAACACTCAGCATTTATCCAAGCTCAGACTCTTTGGCCTCTGGACAGCAGGAAATGGTACAAAATAAAGGTGTAGGAAATGAGTACTTGGGCAAAAAGGACACTGGCACAGCAGCTCCTGTAGCTTAATGCTTATAATTATTAAAAACTGCTGGTGCTAGGGGCTTAGTGAAGAGCTGACTTTTTCCTTTATGGGGGAGGAAACCAAGGCTAACCACCAGCCCCAGCTCATGGGTAGCTGCTGTTGCTGGGTTTGTTAGCC